TTTTTTTTTTTTTTTTTTAAGAAACATGCATACAAACGATAGATTGGATTTGGAAAGAGATAGAGATTTTTACACGAAGGTTGACGTGTCGTTTCTCAGACGGTTGAAACAGATATCACAGGCTACGTTGCGTGACTACGTTATGGCACGTTTGTACAACGTGTAACAAGCAGATAGTACGTTAATGCCCGCTTGATCAGCGAGTTGGATCTCGCTGTTAAAAAGTTGCATTCCGAGCGAGTGACGCGGTAACGGTTGGTAAGGGTTGCAAATGTCTCGGATATTTAACGCGGTTGCTCTTCCGTAAGTGTTGCATTCCTGTTTTAGTTGAAGTTCTCGACGATATTCTGGACGATAAGTGGCGTCTGAATTGTGAAATGAAATTGAGACAGCGAGTTCTGGTGAAAAATTTGACACCGTAAAGATATTTCAGTGATAATGTTGTTCAGATGTGTCCTTCAGTTTTTTATATTAATATTAATATATTTAGATATAAATATACAAGATTCTATATCAATGTTAATATAGATGTACAAACTTATAAGATTCTTTTTTACATCCCAAATTAATTTCATTGTTTGCAGATTTCTCAATTTCTTACTTACTGCCACTGGCTGGATAACTCCATTTGTTTTAGCAAAATCACGATTAATGTAAATTGAATCAACTTTGTCCGAACGTGAACTTCAATTATACAAACTATAATTTACATTAATACCACTTGTTCTTTACATAACGGCATTCATTTTTTTCACAAAACGACGCGTACGAATAATTTCTCAAATAGAGGGAAATACCACCGGCTTCTCTCTGCTTTCCATTTCATACAACTCGTTCGATACAGTTCCCAAGCCACTGTATTATAGTTTCGTTCGATAGCCACTAAGAATCTACTAAAAAAAAAAAACGGGAAGTTGGAAGTATAACCGTTAGTCGTAGCCGTGTAGGCGTGCATAAATAAGAAAAAAAGGGGGAAAAAAAGAAAGAAAACGAAAAAAAAAAAAATGAAACGAACGCGAATGTAATACCGAGGTGCCGGTTAGATTAGGGACGGAACTGTTGTGTAACCAAAAACATCTGCCAATCTGACATCACCTGCCCCGGTATTGCCTATTTGTAGTTAATTTATCAGGCATTTTTCGACGGAGCTAGGAATCGAAGGACGTCGCGCGGCTGGTTCCTCGACCGTGGCTAGATCTCAATATAAACCTTCGCTCTTTCCTCGGACCCGTGGCCTTTCATTACGCGATAACATCTTAACTGCCACGGGGAACATGCGAATTCTCGATGGTGCGCGGCTGTTCCACCGATTCGCGTTAATAAACCCTCGATATCTCTGGACTTCTCACTACGTCGCGGGACAAAATGCGGAATAAGTTAATTGTTTAACCACTCCCGAGAGAGACAGAGAGATTTAGTGCGAGACACAAGCTGGAAACGCATTCGATTTTTAGCCAGGACGATCTCAGTCTAGTGACTGGGCGTTTGGACGATGTTAGCGGTTATCAAGTGGGTTCATTCGTGATTTTGATCGAAATTTTCGGGATTGAGGTTGATAATTGCAAATATTACATTTTTCCTTTCTTTTATTTTCTTCGTTTTCCTTTTTTTTTTTTTTTTTCTTTAGAGGAGTTTATGAATTTAAGAGCATAGGTGTTTTATTTAAAAATTACATAAATACGAGTTTGTTTGGTTTATTGCTTCACACATATACATTAAAAGTATATACCAAATTATCTATTTATTAATTTCAGAATTCTTCATTGGGATAAACAGCTGGAACTCTAACTGTGCAGCTTAATGTTAAAAAATCAATAATCATCGATGAAAATTTAATTTCATAAAAATTGTTTCCAGTCCATGTAATCCGAACTGGGTAGAATTTAATGCAATCTCTAACTATTGAATAGAATTCATTGCACTGTACATTTCGTTACACCGTGTTCGATCGTCCTTCATCTGAATTATTCGCGTCGTTGAGAAACTCTTTAGCCGATGATGGAATTGATCTGATTTCGATCGTTTCTAAACAGCAACGGCTCGATTAAAAATTGCAACGAGAAACAAAATCTCCCCATGTTGGATTGCACCACGTGTTCGCACGTTTGTTTGTTGCATAATAAATGATATGTGTGTAATCGAGTGTATTCCTGTGAATACACGCTCCTAGAAAAAAGCGTTTGAAAACCACTGAGGAAAGGGGAGGAAACGCATCGAATGAATTTGATGGCGTGACGAACGCTGGATGACTACGTATTTCTAGAAGGATTCATTAAACAAAGCCGATATATCGATTACCCGTTTCCTTCAACGACACAGCGAGCTGCTTTCTTCCGCGAATTATTGTTACCACTAATACGATCGATGAATTTGATTACCGTCTACCTATCGATCCGCAAACGAAGGTTGCTCAGACTTGCGGGTAAAGTCAGGGTGATTTTCGTCCGGCTAGTATAATAGACGCGATACAACTCGTCGTTAAAATTCGCTTTCTTTTAATTATGTGATTTTCGTTCACCAAAATTGAATGCTTAACTAAATGAGAGGTAAATAAGAGATTAAACTATGAAATTGGAATGTATGAAATATATATAGTAAAAAAGAAAAGAATATAAAATGTAAAAGTAAATGTAAAATATGCTAGAACTTTCTCTTTAATGTGAAATATTATGTGACTTGAACGTTTAACGAGACGAATTGGAAATTGGATAAAATTTTTCTCTAACACGAGATATTCTTTAGTCCTTAGTAGTGTGTGTTAATACGTGAACTAAAGTTGCAAACTAGAAACTAGAATCTTCGTCAGTGATATTAAAGTGAAGAAAAGTAGAAAAATATAAGCTTTTATTTATGTATACTGCTTTACGTTTATAATATATCTAGCAAAAATTACGAATTGGTCATTTTGATCACCTTGATAGTGAAAATACATAAAAGTCGTGAATTATTTCTATCTGTAA